GAGTGAAACTCCGTCTCAAAAAAAAAAAAAAAAAAATTAGCTGGGCATGGAGGCCCGTAGCCTATAATCCTAGCTACTTGGGAGGCTGAGGCACGAGAATCACTTGAGTCTGGGAGGCAGAGGTTACAGTTAGCTGAGGTTGCACCATGCATTCCAGCCTGGGCCACAGAGGGGACTGTCTCATAAAAAAAAAAAAGAAAAAAAAAGGACTTGTGGGAAGAAGAAAAGAAGGATATTTCAGAAAGACACTAGTTTGGGTGGAGAGAGAGAGGCAGAAAGGACAACAGAGTATGTTCAGGGGCCAGATCATAGTGGATCTGGCTGGAAGGTAGTTAAACCTTGGAGGAAAAGGAAGATTGGGACTGTCATAAATGGTCTTGTGTTCCAGGGTGAAGTCTTATTAAATGTGAAGAGTGAATACTGAAGAAATGCCAAACCTCTCAAAAAAAAAAAAAAAAAAAAATAATAATAATAATAATAATAAAAGAATTAGAGAATTATAAGGTAACAAGCAAAACAGTCACTGGATTAAGGTATGGCTATCTGGAAAGAATCACAAATTAAAGTAATTCGTGTAAAGGAGTAAACGGCCTATCTGCTAATCGTTTACAATTGATTGTCCCCTACGGAAAGGTACATGAAGAAATGGGAGATTTAGTTCCGCGAGGTTTTCAGCCAACACTGGTACTGGTCCACAGGCTGTGTGCATGTCAGACACTGGGTTTGAAAGCAGGAGGAAGGCAGCTGCTGACTGGGTGGCACTGCCTGGGGCCCCGGGTGTGTGCCATGGAGGAGGGCATCCAGCGCCTGGAAAAGGACACCGCACCTGGAGGACGGCCCTGGGGACAAAGGACACCTTCCTTGGGGACTAAGAGTCTGGGGATGGGAGCTTCAGGGGCAGGAGTGCGGGAAGGCGCATGTTTCAAGGGAGCTGCGAGGCCCTCGTGAAGAGGAATCCCCTTTTCCTCCCGAGCCGTGGCCGGGCTGGGTGGGGAGCGCAGTTCCAGGGGTAGCAGGAAGGGACTACGGGATCCCCGGGGCCGGGCTCTTACCCCGCCGCGCCGCAGGCCCACGTGTCCTCCCCGGCGTCCTCTCCCAGTGCGCCGCCCCGAGGTCCGGGCGCCCTCTCGGCCTCGGCCTTCCTGCAGCGGAGCGACAGAGAGGGCAGCGGGCGGCGGGCGGTCTCGAACCCAGCCTGGGCGGCGGTGCAGGGCCTGCGAAGCCGGCGGGCCGGCGCAGGGGTGGGAGTCGCGCCCGGGGCCCAGGCCGGGCCCAGAGAAGCCTGCCGGGGCCGGGGCTGCGGCTCCGCGGGCTTCCCCACCGGCCGGGTCGTCCGGCAACGACCAGCGAGCCGGGGCACCCGGGCAGGCCCCGCGTTCCACCAGGTCCACCGGTATTCGCGGGCCGCGGGGTAGCCGGCGGCCGCCCAGGCGCGGAGCCTCTCGGGGGTCACCCGGCCGCTGAGCCCGCGGGCCGCACGACGCCGCCGGGGCAGGACACCGAGCCTCAGGCCCGGTCCCTGCGCCCCGCCCGGCCCCCTCCGGGGCTGCTGCGCAGCCCACTCGGCCATCCTGGCCTGGAGGGGCCGCCCAGGGGCCTCGCGCCAAAGCCTGCGCCTCCCGGAGCCCTCCGGAGCCTTCTCGGGCTTTCCCCCAGGCGTCCTGGACCTTCTGGTGCCTTTCTGGGCCTTGCTGGGCTTCTTGACTCTCCCGGGGCCCTTTCCGAGGCCTCCCGGCCCTTCCCTGGGCCTCTCCAGCCTGAACGCTCCGCGAGGCGGCCAGTAGGCCTCTGGCACCCAGGCCTGGCCCACCCGCCTCCGCCCCACCGCCTGCGCTCATCAAGCCAGGAGCACTGCCCCGTGTTTCTCCAGACTAAGCTAGAGGTGTTGATATATGTAAAGTTATATCTATGCTTGTACAATATATTAAATGATTAACATAGAAGAAGAGGCATCTTTGTTGACACCAAGCAGACTACTGGTCAATTTTAGGTCTGTCATCAGCCTTTCAATAGGAAGAACAAAACATGATTTTTTTTTAATGTAGAGGATACATTTAAATCACAGAGCCCAATTTTGTACCCCTAAATGCATATCTCTTATTACAGCTCCATGAAATCAGTGGAGGGGTGGGGGAAGAGTATCTCTGTATCTAGTCAGATATATCTAGATAGCTATCTCCCCCACCTTCAACAGTTTGTTAGAAAAATTTAAAATTAATTATATATATAAGTACAACTACAACTGATTGATATAGAGATAATTTTTAAACACAATTATATATTTAAGTACAGCAAATGAATACTAAACATTATTTTGGGGGGATGAGATCATGGCCATGCCCCTTTGAGAGTCTCCCTGTAAAAATACATTTATTTACCAGATGTTGAACACAATTTCAAGGGTTTCTCAGGTCTTTGATCCCTGACTCCTGTCCCTTTTCTCTGCATTTCCATTTTCTCTTCAGAAAGACCTTCCTTTTAAAGAAGCCCTTCCCACCTACCACCTACCTTATTCTATTTCATGACACTCTGTTTTATTTACTTCTTCGTACTCCTCATAGTCTTGCTAATTCTGTTTACTTGTTTGTTTTTGTATTGTCTGTCTCTCCCCAGTATAATATAAAAGTCCATGGGGGCAGGTGCCTTGCCTATCTAGTTCATTTCTATATCCCCAACCCTTTAAAACTGTGCTGGGCACACAGTAGAAGCACGATCCATGTAAGTAAATGAACCTCATTCCTTGCAGGCTCCCTGGAGGTTTCCCTTCTAGGCGCCCTCCTCCTTCAGCTGTTCTCCGTACTGCTGCTCTAAAATACAGACCTGCCCAACTGCCTCCTAATGTCTCAAGAAGGAAACCCAAATTCTGCAGCCATCCTTTAGGTACCTGCTCATCACCCTTCCAGCACCCACTACATATCAAGCACATCGGACATCGCACAATTTTCCTAAGCACTCTCCTCCAGGGCATAAATCAGTTACTCTTCCTATAATAGTACCTCCTTTTTATTTCTCAACCTGTCAAGTTCTAGTCATATAGTTCTAACTCACAAGTCATTTTTCTTGACTACTCAGGAAGAGTAAATTGCTAGAAAAAATACAAAAAGAAAAAGAAAACATGAGTAAATTGCTATCTCCTCCAAGATCCTTACTTCATTATAATAATTATTCATTTACAATATCTCATTCTCTTTCAACACCTTGAAGGTATTATTAACCCATATTCTATCTAACAGAGTGCCTGGCAGGTACTGTAGTAGGTACGGCACTCCATAAATGTTTGAATTGATTTAATTATTGCAAAAATAGGATTTTCTGGAATGTATGGTGTGATGACTATAGGCCAGGCATGGTGTGGAACATTTCATATGGATTAAACAAGGTATATGCCTAATAATCCAATGAAGCAGGTACCACTAGTTATTCCTTTATTTATTTATTTATTTTGAGACAGGGTCTCTCTCTGTTACCCAGGCTGGAGCGTAATGGTGTGATCTCGGCTCACTGCAACCTTCGCTTCTCAGGTTCAAGCAATTCTTCTGCCTCAGCCTCCCTAGTAGGTGAGATTACAGGCACCCACCACCACGCCTATTTTTTGTATTTTTAGTAGTGATGGATTTCACCGTGCTGGCCACGCTGGTCTCAAACACCTGATCTTAGGTGATTTGCCCCCCTCGGCCTCCCAAAGTGCTGGGAATACAGGCGTGAGCCACTGCGCCCGGCCTAGTTATTCCTATTTTATAATTGAGTAACCTGAGCCTTAGATGTATTATGTAACCTTTCTCAACTTAAAATTACTAGAAAAATTGTGAATGGGAGTAAATATTGGGGTCCATGTATTCCCAGCTAATGGTTTTTACAGACGTTCTTGAAACAGAAATTATGTGTGCTTGTGTGTGAATTCCACAGACCTGGCTTACACATTTCCTATCTTCCTTGCTTTATGTTTCTATTCATGCCATTTTCTTTTGTTTCAGAACTCAAACTGATTCCTGATCCCTTAGAGTCCTTCTGAGATTTGTCATCCATAAATACATCCTCTAAGTTTTTTTTCTTAACAAAACTTATTCTTAAAAATGTTCCTTTCCCTTTCTCTGGAGACTTTTGAATGCTTTGACATCAGCATCAAAATCGTGGCTGGCCCTCCCCTCACTGCTAAATGTGCATGGCTCTGGTGGTGTGCAATATAAAAGCAACAACTTGGAAATGGTGCCCTCTCCAAACCTGTGGGTCTGATCTGGTTCTGGCCCAGCATAGGGGGTTGGACAGTGGGTCATTTTCTACAGCAGCTCAGATCCAGCTTAACATCAATCCCAAGGCCAAAGAGAATGCACTTTCCTTCTGTTGGGGCTTGGTAAACAGCACCCCAACTTCAGAAATAGCCTCAGAAGCAGAAGTTTTTCTCTGATCTTCTGCCTTCCTGTCTCTCAGTCCCAGTCTCCCTCCAAGGCTAGCCAGAGAAACTAGAATCCCTTTCTCCAATGCAGGTTACAGAAATCAGAATGGTTTTTCCCCAAAGCCAGCCATAAAACCTAAAAATATGACTCCAATTTTCCCTTGGCCTTTCTGTGTAAAAACTGGCCATAAAAAAATTACCTGACCTACCTTGTTTGACTGTAGGTCATAAGACCCCCATTTCAGAGAGGGCCCTGCCCCATATCCAGAAGAAAGGAATGCTGCTCAGAGAGGCCAAGAAGAATCCAGATAGACAGGCCTTGCTGGGTTCCCCACTCAGGCTGTTAGCACCAGATCAGACCCTTTTTGTCCAATCATCTTTCTACAGAGCTGTCCATACTTTGTTGAACCGAAGCATAAACATGGAGACTCTCCCCTATATTTCTGAGTTTTTATTCTGTATGATGTGTACACACATGCTAAATATATTTGTATGCCGTTTCCCCAGTTACTCTGCCTTTTGCAAGTTGATTTTTCAGCAAATTTCAGAGAGCCAAGCCCTTAGTCCCTACACCTCCAGCTATCTCGTGGCTATGCTGAGGATTCAGTTTTTAGCGGTATTCTCAGCTTGGCTTACTTTAAACCTGCACCTCGTTAGCTGATCCCAAGTGAAACCACAGTAGGAATGAGGCAGATGCTCTCTATCTCAGGCATTTAACAAGCTCTTAAGTTAATTACAAGGGAGGCAGGCTAAGGAGACAAAGGCAAGCCTTGGGCTAGTCAGTAAGTAGTCCAGTAAGCACAGCTTGCTGTCCACCTCAGTTTCTCCTCCTATAACAAAGGCCGTGACATTGACTACCACATAACTACTTTGGAAAGCACCTTGACATACATTCCTTTTCATTGTCCTGGGTTATGCAAAGACATGTCAGTAGCAACATTACTTAGTTTCTAATTATTCTGGAGGGAAAAGTCGTCTTTTTCAGTCTACCTCCTTCAGTATCTTTCACGTTTTGATATTACCCATGCATCTGCCCTCATCTCCCTTTGTTTTTCTTTTTAGAATTGCCAAGGTCATGGCTAATCCCACTCTTTCGCCCAGGCGAAAGAGTGCAGTGGTGCGATTTTGGTTCACTGCAATCTCTGCCTCCCAGGTTCAAGTAATTCTCCTGTCTCAGCCTCCCAAGTTGCTGGGACCACAGGCACTTGCCATCACGCCCGGCTAATTTTTTTGTATTTTTAGTAGAGTTGCGAGTTCACCATATTGGTCAGGCTGGTCTTGAACTTCTGACCTCAGGTGATCCACTCTCCTCAGCCTCTCAAAGTCCTAGGATTATAGACTTGAGCCACCATACCCACCCTACAGCAGAATTTTGTTCAATATAATTATGCAACATTTTCTGAAAGTCAGGACAATATTTTCTAAATAATATTTTTGTTCTCAAATAAGATGCTAAGTCAGTGGGAAACATTTCAATTCAATTATGGGCAACTTGTATTTAGCATACGGTTTAGCGATCTAGTCTTTTGTTTTTCTTTTTTGAGCAACTGCTTTGTCTTTCAGCAGTGGCAAATTTATCCTGATTTAGAACTCTATTCTATGAGCATTCATCCTCAATATCCTTTCTTGTGTTTGTATAATTCCTTTTTAAGAAATATATATTCAAATATTTATAATTTGAAGTTTTAAAAATTAATCTTTAATACTCGGCTCCCATAGCAATGTCTTATTTGAAAGGCCATCATTTTGTTGGAAAAATATGGGAAATATTGTTTAAAAACTATTTATTCCTGGAACCAATGTGATAGTGATGGATATGAACATATTTCCAAAAGGAAGCAAAATAAACACATCAATCAGTGAATTCCACATCTGCATATGCTGCAGCTAGTACTTTTGAATAAATTCTCAAGCATATAATTTCTCCTTTAAGACTTGATTTCTGCAATTTGAATTGCTTCATAAGCCTTTCTATCCTTCAGATGCCTATACTCTGTAACTATATTTTCCTAGCGTTATGTCACAAATTCACTTTAAATTTTGGTTAAAGTTTCAGCGTCAGAACTTACTTTCTGGTGCCGGGAAAGGTGTAGCTTGGATCCCCTTTCTGGTCGTCAGACCCCTCCCACCTCATTTGTTGTGAATGGAACACTTTCTTTAGAATGCTTTCCTTTAAAAACTTGGAGATAATCTTCTCTATTCGAACATTGCTGAACACCTTGCCTTTTGGAAGCCAGATGATCTTGTCATATCATCCATGGCAGTGGGGAAGGGGGAGGTATTCAGGAGACACAGAAACCCTCTTAGGAACAGAAAAAGGAATTACGTTTACCTAAAAGTCATGAATAAAAGATCAGCCTAACTAGAAAAACAACCTAGAGTCTTGCAGCTGCTGCGCTGCGGGATCAATTTAGTTAATAATACACTGCTGGCACCTACGCGGGCTGCTGGCCCAGCGTGCGGCTCTCATCACAAGAAAAGACTTGGGAGAAAATAATAACATATTAGAAGCCCAGTTTTGAAAAGGTAAATCTATTAGCCAGTGAATAATAGAACTGGAAATAAGAGGAATACAAAACAAAATACAAAATGAAAGCATTTGTTCCATCAAAGAATATTAGCACCATGGGCTGAGACCTGGTTGACTCAGATCAAGATCACACAGCTGGTTAGCAGCAGAATATTTGCCAAGTGTCATTCATGATGGATGTCTCCCATCCTGAACAGTGTTCTTTAACCATACCATAATTAGAGAAAACGAATAAGACTGATTCCTAGAAGCGTTAATTCATTGGAAAAAAATACATATATGTATATATTTCCATCTGATAGTTTATTTAAAAACAAAATTTAGGCCAGGTGCGGTGGCTCACACTTGTAATCCCAGCACTTTGGGAAGCTGAGGCAGGCAGATCACAAAGTCAGGAGTTTGAGACCAGCCTGGCCAACACAGTGACACCCCGTCTCTACTAAAAATACAAAAATTAGCTGGGCGTGGTGGCAGGCGCCTATAATCCTAGCTGCTCTGGAGACTGAGGCAGGAAAATTGCTTAAACCGGGAGGCAGATGTTGCAGTGAGCCGAGATCATGCCACTGCACTCCATCCAGCCCGGGTGACAGAGCTAGACTCCGTCTCAAAAAAAAAAATAAAATAAATTAATAATTGTGACCTACTTCAGATTTCAGCCAAGGTCAGCATGAGTCAGGTAACTATAAACATTCCATCAGTTGCTATTGAGTGCAGTGACTAAGAACATATGAGCCAATTTACATGGAATGTAAAGAATTACATTTTAGTAGATCACTTCCTTGGCATGTTGAATGGCCAACATGGTTTGTTCTTTGCTATTTATATAAATGAAGGTTTAGAGGAATGCACTCAACTTTGCTTGAAAGAAAGAAGCTGGGGATATGTCTTCTAGCTGCCAGAATATTCTACCCCCTTTCTCCCCACCAAAACGCCTGTAAAATTATGAGAATCACACTGAATTCAAATGGTTCTTGTTGGTTATGTAACATATTTTAAATATGTACTTGCATTTAAAGTATATTATTTTCATTTTTTAAAGTTTTACTTTTTGAGTCTGCAGGTTGAAAGGTAAGAAATGGGATGGGCCAGACGCAGTGGCTTTCGCCTATAATCACAGCACTCTGGGGGGCTGAGGCGAGAGGATTGCTTGAGGTCAGGAGACCAGCCTGGCAACATAGCAAGACCCTATCTAGGCTGAGGTGCGAGGATTGCTTAAACTCAGGAGGTGGAGGCTACAGTGAGCTGTGACCACACCACTGCACTCCAGCCTGGGCCATAGAGCAAAATTCTGTCTCTTATTAAAAAAATATATATATATATATATATATATATATATATATGGCCAGGCGTGGTGGCTCACGCCTGTAATCCAAGCACTTTGGAGGCCAAGGCAGGCGGATCACCTGAGGTCGAGAGTTCAGACCAGTCTGACCAACATGGTGAAACCCCATCTTAAAAAAAAAAAAAATATATATATATATATATATATATGAATGGAATTTTATATCTGCTGCTCTGGCCACTAAAGTATCATATGATATAATCATAATGCTTTAATAGTCTTGGCCAAAGGTTTTTAAGGTTGGTAAAAAGCTGGCCCACGCTCCCGGGTTTGCCATAGCATGCCATAGCGTGCTAGGCTCACAAGCCTTCTCTGCTTCTCACCAACCTGCAGTGTGGTTCTCCAGCTGGTTCATGAAGGGTAGAGCAATTATGGGGAAGCTGGCTCCTGGTGGTGCACGCTGAAATCTAAAAGTAGCTGTAACAAACCCTATTATTTGCATTTTTGTTCCAAATCTGATACTAGTTCTTGGCAGCTTTTAGCTTGTTCTGGGCTGTGCTATCAATTGTGGTTATTTTAGGCCAGGCGTGGTGACTCATGCCTGTAATCCCAGCACTGTGGAAGGCTAAGGCGAGTGGATCATGCGGTCAGGAGTTCGAGGCAAGCCTGCCAAGATGGTGAAACCCTGTCTCTACTAAAAATACAAAAATTAGCCGGGCACAGTGGCAGATGCCTGTAATCCCAGCTACTCGGGAGGCTGAGGCAGGAGAATTGCTTGAGCCCAGAAGGTGGAGGTTGCAGTGAGCCAGGATCACGCCACTGCACTCTAGCCTGGGCAACAGAGGAAGACTCCATCTCAAAAAAAAAAGTGTGGTGATTTAAGATTATTTAATACTTCTATTGTTCTCTGCTTTTTGGTCTACAATGGAGAATGGCTTCTAATGGGAAAGCTCTGGTTGAGCATTGTTTACTTTGTTTTCTGTGGATAAGAGCATAAGAAGCAGTTTGGCTTCTTACCTGTGTTAATCGGGGCATTTCCTCAGTTGTGGACGATGAAGCTCTTTCCTCGGTTCTGCTAAGAACTGTGCTGATGTAACTACTCTCTCTTGAGGCCTCGTAGGTCTGTGGAGCCTTAATTAGGTACATACAGGGAGGAAGACTTCTACAAAGTACCAGATGGGAAAATATCACTGGATATTTGCGCCCTCACTTTCCCCTCTTCCTTTTAGCAAAGCTCTCAGTTTTCCCCAGAAATTGTCCACGTCCAGACACAAGAGTGAAGTTTCTGCCAAAAGTCCCCGAATGACTTGGCAGGATATTTTCAATGGGCTGATTTCCTCTGCTTTGAATGGAGGATGAGCACGCTGGGTTCCAGACCAATACCTGGGCCATTGTGACTCTCAGAATCCCGGGCAATAAGAGGTCAGAAAGTCCATTCCACCTCGGCTTGGAGACAGAGGAAAGCTTGCCGGGAGAACAATTGCAAGCCCCCCCGCCCTCATGTTCTCGGTTTGTTCTTCTCTGTGACGCCACCGGCCATCATGAGAACAGCCAGCAGCAGATCCAGCGTGATAAAATTTTCACTCCTTGACAAGTGTGAGAAACCGAAAAACTATGCCCAGCCAGAAGTTTTATGTCACACCTTTGAGGCGCTGTCTAACCTCCACAAGCTGCTTCCCAATCACCTGGTGGAGAAGCTTTATTCCTACAAGAGTGAAGAGGACAAGAAAAAATGTACGTGGGTAGAGGGTAGGCGTGAGTTCTTTTCAGTAAGCATACACTTTATCTTGACACAAACTGCCAGTACTTTTAGCCACAGTTAAGAGCTTACTCTTTATTTTATTTAGTTTATTATTTTTTTCACACGGGGGGGGGCGGTCTCACTTTATTCCCCAGGCTGGAGGGCAGGGTTGCAATTGAGGAAGGAGAGTCCTTCCTCTTAAAGCTTCTAAGACCACTTCCCCTTAGCCTTGCATTTCAAAAGAAGAAAAAGTTGAAAATAGAAGGCACAAGGTCAGTGGAGGAGGCAAAACCGGTGCCACTAGCTGGACTGGAGGTTAAGGATCAACACCCCCCCACCCTCCCTCCACCTGCCCCCACCTGCCCCCACCTTCCCCCACCTCTCCCCGCCCCAGTTCCTATCTTATGTATAGATCACAGGCATGGTGTGGAGGAATCTTCCCCGGAAGGCATTGTCCTTGCTTAATCACGATTAGACCCCCACCTAAGTCACGCACCCCTCACTTACCTCATCGATCACGACCTTCTCACATGTACCCTCTAAGACTGTGAGCCTTTAAAAGAGGCCAGGATTTTCTTGTTGGGGATCTCAGTTCTTGAGACTGGAGTCTGCTGAGACTCCCGGCCAAATAAAAAGCCACTTCCTTCGAAGGTTTGTTCGCGGCCGCTCCTGCTTTACCATAATCGTGGCTCACCGCAGCTTTAAACTCCTGGGCTCATGTGATCCTCCCACCTCGACCTCCGCAGTAGCTGGGACTCTAGGCAAATTGCCACTGCAGTGTCTAATTTTTAAATTTTTTGTAAGGATGTCCCCCCCCCAACCTCCATGGTGCCCAGGCTGGTCTCAAACTGCCAAGCTTAAGTGGTCCACGTGCCTTTGCCTCCAAAGTGCTTGGATTCGAGGTGGGAGCCCTTGCACCCAGCCAGAACTTGTTCTTTACGTTGCAGGTGTGATTCGTCCTCCAGGCACATGTCCCCATCCATGGACTTCCGTATTCTGGAATTTACTCATGTGCTGAATAACCATTGCTTCTTCATGTTCCTTTTGCAGAAATAGTCTTTTGTGAGCCAAGTTAGGCCTAACCCTACTCTTTAGACAAAGCTCACCTGTGGGACAATGGAAAGGGTACCAAGAGGGAAAGGCAGCTACGTTTATAATTTAAGCTTTAGATTTTATTTTAAGATTAGGGAGAGAACTTTCAAGTGGAAAGTCAAGTTTTGAACTTTGTTCCTTTGCTCTGTTTCCTGCTATTCCTCCCTCCCGTGGCCATGATTGCACCCAGAAGAAGCTGGATATATTCTTTCCTCCTGGGGATTATAAGCAAACTGTACTTTTTGCAGTTTGGAGTGGCCTGCCACTCCTGAAATTCTGTCAGGGTCATTGATAAGGGGGGCGATTTGCAGAATTGGGTGGAGTCTGCTTTCTGAATTGTTCCTGCTTAAGTGGAGGGCAAAGGTAGCGGCAGCCACCTGTGCTCATGAACTTCAAAAACAAAAAAGCAGCTGCCATAGAGATTAAGTTGCAATTCTGAGGCCGGGCGAGGTGGCTCCTGCTTGTAATCCCAGCACTTTGGGAGGCCAAGGCGGGCAGATCATCTGAGTTCAGGAGTTCAAGACCAACCTGGCCAAGCTGGTGAAACCCCATCTCTACAAAAATACAAAAATTAGCAGAGCATGATGGCGGGTGCCTGAAATCCCAGCTACTCTGGAGGTTGAGGCAGGAGAATGCTTGAACCCAAGAGGCAGAAGTTGCGTGAGCCGATATTGCGCCACTGCACTCCAGCCTGGCGACAGAGCAAGACTCCTTCTCAAAAAAAAAAAAAAAAAAAGACACAGTTTCGGGATGAAAGATAGGTATTGGTGTAATGATTTTAAACCATGATGGCAAATTTGGCCATTTCTATTCTGAGAAATCCCTACCCCCTGAATCCAGAGTATTGTGAATCAATCCTAATATCCAGATTACATTACACATTACATAAAGCGCACTCATAAATCATCAAGAAAAATATAAGTAACCTTATAGAATAAATATATGGACAGGCAATTCACAGGATTTAACTACAGATCATCAATAAGCATAAAAGGTGTTCAAACACTCTGGTCATCAACGAAGTAAAAGACACATCAAGGAGATATTTTTAGGCCGGGTGCTGTGGCTCATGCCTGTAATCCCGGGAGACTGAGGCGGGCAGATCCTGAGGCCAGCCTGACCTATGTGGTGATACCCCGTCTCTACTAAAGATACTAAAAAATTAGCTGGGTGTGGTGGCACACATTTATAATCCCAGCTACTCAGGTGGCTGAGGCAGGAGAATTGCTTGACCTGGGATCACGCCAAGATCGCGCCATTACACTCCAACCTGGGTGACAGGGTAAGACTTTGTCTCAAAAAAATAATAATAAAATAAAAAAGAGATTATTTATTTATTTATTATTATTTTTAAAGATGGGATTTCACCATATTGACCAGGCTGGTCTTGAACTCCTGACCTCAGGTGATCCACCCACCTCGGCCTCCCAAAGTGCTAGGATTACAGGCATGAGCCACTGCGCCCGGTCAAGGAGATATTTTTAGACCATGATATCAGTCAAATTTAGAATGATTAGATATGAATATGAACATGTGGAAAAGTTAGCACTTTCTCACACTATTAAAGGCATCCTAATGGATTCAGGCTTTTTTTGGTGGGGACGGAGTCTCACTCTGTCTCCAGGCTGGAGTACAATGGTGTGATCTCGGCTCACCGCAACCTCCGACTCCCAGGTTCAAGCGATGCTTCTACCTCAGCCTCCAGAGTAGCTGGGATTACAGGCGCCTGCCACCACGCCCAGCTAATTTTGTATTTTTAGTAGAGATGAGGTTTCTCCATGTTGGTCAGGCTAGTCTCAAACTCCCAACCTCAGGCGATCCTCCCGCCTGGGCCTCCCAAGCTGGGATTACAGGAGTGAGCCATCACGCCTGGCCTGATACAGGCTTTGTGAAGGAAAACTTGGAAGTCTGTCAAAATTTCAAACGTATTTTAAGGGCTTATTGAGGCTGAACTTGGTAGAAAGTAAGCAGAAGATAATTTTCTTTTTTTCTCACAGCTCCCCCTTCTGACCCATTCTGTTGACCCTTTCCTCACCTGGGTGAAATTACAGGTAGATCTCATAGCTTTCCTGGTCATACTCATATAATACAAAGTCCACTCTAATCCAAACCTTAAACTCTCATCTACTTTAAAATCTCTCTGCTCCCCGCTGCTCTGGTCTTATTTAGACTCAGAAACCAGGTGAGTTTCTTTTCTCTGACCTTGCTCCAACCCCTCCCTCACTGGCTTCTGTTAGGTTGATGGGGGTGGGGGTGGGGGCGTTGGGGTGAGGAGCTGTGGAGTTTTTTCAGATGGTAAAATCTTAGGTTGTGGTCTGGCATTTGTACCCTCTGGGAGTGGCAGCTGTCAAAAGCGGAGTGTCTCCCGGGGGGGGGGGGGTTGTGTGGGTTCTTTGGCAATTCCCCAGGCTGACAGTTTTCACAGCCTCCTGCTGACATTTCTTCTCTCCCATCCCGCCAGGTGCCTTAGTCTATTTGGGCCTCTATAACAAAATACGGTAGCCTGGAACTGGGGCAGTGGCTTACGCCTATAATCCCAGCACTTTGGGAGGCAGAGGCGGGCAGATCACCTGAGATCAGGAGTTCAAGACCAGCCTGACCAACATGGTGGAAGCCCGTCTCTACTAAAAATACAAAAATTAGCCGGTGTGGTGGCAGGTACCTGTAATCCCCGATACTCGAGAGGCTGAGGCAGGAGAATCGCTTGAACCTTGGAGGCGGAGGCTGCAGTGAGCCGAGATCATGCCGTTGCACTCCAGCCTGGGCAAGAAGAGTGAGACTCCATCTCAAAACAACAGCAGCAATAACAATAACAACAATACATACTGTAGACTGGGTAGCTTATAAACAGAAAAACTTATTTCTAATGGTTCTGGAGACTGGGAAGTTTAACATCAAGGCAGATACCATGTCTGGAGAAAACTTTCTGGCTCATAGAGGGCAACTTCTGCTGCATCCTCACAAGGGGGAAGGGGCGGGGGTCTCCCTCAGCCCTAGTTTATAAGACACCGCCCCCATGACCTGATCCCCTCCCAAAGACCTGCCCACTATGTAATACCATCACCTTGGGGGTTAGGATTTAACACATGAATTTTGAGGGGCACAAAGATTCAGACCATAGCACCGCCTTCCCCAGCTCTTGTATGGTTTACTTCCATCCTGTTTCAACTGAGATTGCATCATCCTTTGATGGAAACCCTCTTGAGATCCTCCTGTTCAAGCAGGCCCCAAACTATTATAGCTGACACTTGAACAACTCATTTAAACTGTGCAGGTCCGCTTACAGGTGGATTTTTTTCAATAAATACATTGGAAATTTTTTTGAAGATTTGCCACAATTCGAAAAAATTCGCAGACCAATTATATAGCCTAGAAATAACAAAAAATTAAGAAAAAGGGAGCTGGATGTGGTGGCTCATGCCCGTAATTCCAGCATTTTGGGAGGCTGGAATTTTGCGTGGATCATTTGAAGTCAGGAGTTTGAGACCAGCCTGAGCAACATGGTGAAATCCATTCTCTACTAAAAATACAAAAATTAGCTGGGTGTGGTGGCTCCTGCCTGTAATCCCAGCTACTTGGGAGGCTGAGTTAGGAGAATCGCTTGAACCTGGGAGGTGGAGGTTGTAGTGAGCTGAGATTGCACCGCTGCACTCCAGCCTGGGCTACAGAGTGAGACTCAAAAGAGAAAAAAGAAAAAGAGTATCATGAATGCATAGAATATATGTAGATATTGGTGTGTTTTATCATTTATTACTGTAAGATGTACACATGCCTCTTAGGAAAAGTTAAAAGTTATAAAAACTTACACACACAAACACTTACGTACTTGGTGCCTTTCACAGTCAAGATAAACGTAAACGAGAGTAAAGACGCAGTATTAGGCTGGGATCAGTGGCTCCCG